AGAAGACAAATCCAAACACAGGCATTTCAAATTCCTTGTGTTGAAATTAGGAATAGAAAAACCTTTATTCTTTATTATAACTTGGATAGAGAAGTGCATGACCATTTAGATTGATGTCACCTTTAGACTAACTCCTACAACTGAGAAGAGAATATACTGGCATTTATGGAATACAATTAATTTAAATTATCACAAAAGAAGCTAATAAGACTCCTTGAAAGAGACATGCAACTTTTTAGTTCTTCAAGAAAGGTAACATACTTTCCACGTCAAGATGAGGACATTACTAAGACTACTGAGAACTCAGAAAAACCTTGACATTCCATGCTCACTATCACAAAGGATTTAAAAAGCTTGTTTTAACGACCCCCATTCTGCATATGCAGCAATGCTTAAGAACAAGGCAATGAGACAGGCACAAGTTATCCCTTCAAGATAAGAAAAAGTGGCTGCAAATAGTTTAATTAAACCACTAACAGCAATGTCATCCCATTTCTTTCACAACCAGCTCTGTACAGAGGGCAGGGAAAAAACACTTCTGGAAAGTAAGAGATCATGAGAAAAATGCTTAAGATGTACAGACATACACAATCACCTGTTCAGCTGCATTTGAGTAACATTCTGCATACTTTAGTGTCTTTTGAGAAAGTGCTCTAACTTATACAATATATCCATAAATCATTCTAAGGTCTACACTAGAAAGAAACAAAGACAAGCTTGCACACAACACAAGCCTAAACAAAACACATCAAGTATGAATCACCACCTTTACTACTGAACATGCTACTGTGTTTTGTTGTATTTTATATATCAGACCCAGAGAAACACCATATAGCTGGAAGATTTTTTCATTAGTGCACCTCTAGATATAATGTAAAGCACATGCTCTTAACCTCCCTAATACTCTACATTTGGCAGAGAGGAAGGTTTTTCAGGTTGTTGTCTGCAGCACCAGACAGAAAAGGACCCTTCCAAAAGAGAAGCATCACTGTCTTGCCTGTGACTTTCCTGCACAAAAAAGACTTAAGATAGTACAAGGTCCCGGTTCACATCACACATTAGCTATTTTAGGACCGAATCCTAAAGGCCAGCAAGGCCTCTCAGGCTAATCCAGTCTTTTATTTTTGCAGACTTTCAGAGGCACTACATGTAATCCAGACATCCCCAGCATCTAGCTGGACTGGGCTATAAATATCTGCCTTCTCTGATGTCAAGCTATGTTGAACTGTTACAAAAAGGTTCCTTTTTAAAAATTAACTTTTGGTCTTCGTTGAAACAGAGGTGGAAACAGGAAGACACCAAGTATGCACAGACAAAATTCTCTCGCTGACTGCAGTGTTACAGAAAATTGCTTAGCATTGAAATGCTGGTTAAAGGCAACATAGAAACACTTTGGGTTTTTAACGCAAGTAAATTGGATAACCCAGTCTTGCTCAACAACTTGTGAGTTAATCCAGATATTGCTGATCCTGCTTTCTCTTGGAGCCTTCCCTTTTCACTCTGCCCAACAAATTGGTATAAAACTGCAGTAGAAGTACTCTAAAACAGAGATCATGCAAAAGTAGCCAAAGTTGATCCCTGGTGGCTTGTTGCATTTAGTTGGTTTTGTGGTTGGCTTTTTCTTTACATAAATATATAGTAGCAGTTTATGCCTTAGAAAAGAGTGTATTTGTTGATTGACATTCAGTGTTTTATCCTTCAGAGGGCGAAAGCCAGCTGACAGTACTCAGGGGAGCAATCTTTCCCTGTAGACCACAGAGTTATTTTAAATAAAAGGTCCAAGATCACATTGTTACACCAATGTGACAAGATCATTTTTGTGGCATGGTACAGATTCTCTACGCAACTCAAGATCCTCCAATGTATCTCCATAAACTATACCAGGACATGATGAAAGTTCAAGTTCACATTATAATACAGAAATTGCTTAAAGTTCAGTTGACCTTACGTTTCACTTTGAGCAAGTTTCAGCTTCTGCCGAGAGGTTTCCCAAGTATAATGGATAGAATACTTCAATGAAGTGGGACTACTTGGCACATAATATCCATTTTTGAAGTCTTACAAGTTGCAGCGAAGCTGTTAGAGGCTGTTATGGGGGTTTTAATTATTATTTTGAATTTAAAGCATTGAAACACAAAGTTAACAAAATAGATGCACTTCAAGAGAAAAATTTCAACAGTTGCCAGATGTTCCTTAGAACTGTCAGCTTTAATGCAGTTTTGCACCACTGTTGCTCATTCCCATCTTGTATTGCCATGTAAAGCCATGAAACTCCATGTCTGCAGATCTCTTCCTGAAACCATGCTGTGAGCTCAATACAGATATTAATGTGGATTAAAAATAAACCAGCAAAAAAGAGCACAAGTATTGCTAAGTCATACAGAGGTTCAGTCTTGGCAGCCGACCTGGGTGGGGCAGTGCACCATGGCAGAGAGACCAGAAGAGGCACATTTAGACCAGAGACACCTTTATACACTCTGCTCTACCAGTCTGCCTGCAAAGTGGGAACAGCAAGGATGTCAATGGTAACTCAGCATCCTGCACTGGGGACCCTGTCAGAGCAGGGGAAGGTCACTCTAAGGTCCACAAAGAAGATATGGCAGAAAATGACTTAATTTAGAGAACACAAAGCACTCATAACATCCTGCTTCTTTTTCCCTCCAGACATCAACATTGTTAAGACAAAAATAAGGGAAATAATGTGAGGTTTTTAATACAGCACAGAGAATGAGTATAAAGTTTCAGGATATTAGTGGCATGATTCATGTTTGTCAGCAGTCAATGTAAGTCCTGCCAGGCAACCCTTCTGCCAGCTAAGTTACAAAATACTACCTTCTAAACAATTGTTTTGGCATAATTACTTGTTAAAGCAGTACTTTTTAAATCAATCTTTTCTGGTTTCATTGTATTCATTACTTACCAGCAATCTAAAAATGCAGTTCATATTAGCTTGAGCTCTCACAGTGAAAGACTACTTCAGTATCAAATTAAAAGCTGGAGCATAACTGCTGTCTCAACACTTCCCTGAAGAGGGTATCTTGTGGAAGAAACCAGTTCTCTTATTTTGATAAAGCAAAACCCCCAGACTATGTCATCAATTAGTTACATGCATTGAGAAGAACTGTACTTTGATTAAAACCTTTCATTAAAAGGCAATTAATGGAGTAGGTCAACTAGCTGATCTTAAGGTATTAATGGTAACAGGTGGACATCGCTGAATCACCTGCCCCAAAGCCTTCCAAGCCCATTTAACATGTCAGCAGTCTGGGCAATGACACAACCTCTACCAAGCAGTCCTTAAGTGCCACAGATGTCTGTGACCCAGCAAGTACTAAGAAGTAAAGGTTATGGCTAAAGAGTTGATCTGAGCCACCTAGAGAAACAATCAATTTAAGGGAACACATGTACCTTACTCAAAACTCCTCACCAAAAGTGGTTCGTAAGAGCTGCTGGTATCACTATCGCTGACTTAAACAGACATTTTAGCTTCCTAACTTCTGCGATACTTTATTTAAAGCAAAGACTTGTGTTCCACACAGGTGCAACCTGGCACAACTGTACTTGTCTCAGGAAAACAAAGCACGGGCAATGGCAGGTAAGAGAGGCATCATTGAGAAGGTATTGGAGGTGAAGCTCTGGATACACAAGAACTAGGCTAGTCAGTTTTCAAAATTTAACCTTAGTTAAGCTTTAGTAGGAATATTGAAAAAGTTTTCTAAGTACCTTAACTCTCAGATCTTTAGTATTCTGATTTAGAACAGTTTTAAATAAATTCCTTATTTTAAAGTTACGGATTTTATTTACCACATTGGATTTCTCACTACTTACTGTAGGTTCTTGTGTAACAGGTAAACATAATTGTTACTTGGATTACTTCAGGATGAAAGCCATTATCAATCACCAGAAGGCAAGTACTAAAGACAAACCAGGTTTATCTGTCTAACCTCAGTTTTCCCTCAGTCTGGCACTGATGTGTTTCAGTGATATCGCATACCCTTATCCCCCCGGCCCCGCACAGCCCCGGCGGTGCCTGAATTCCCGGGATACTCCGGGAGCCACATCTACCGCACACGTGTGTGTTCCCCCCGGGGCCGAAGTGGCACCGGTGCCCGAGCACAGGGAGGAGGACACGCCGGCTCGGGCGGGGGGGGCGGGTGTCCCCGTACAGCCCCCTCCGGGACCGACCTCTAACCCGGAGAGCCGTCACCTGTTGTTCCACCACGCCGCGTTCCCGTCCCACGGCTCTCCCCCGCTTCAGAACACAAACATCCGAAACCTCGCTATGCCCCGAGCGGCGGAAGAGGGCTGGAGACGCGGCCGGTGCTCCGCAGTCGGCGCCGGCCCTGCCCGCGCCCCGCGGCGGGACGGGCGGGCTCGGGACGCGGCTGAGGCACCGACCCGGTTCCGAGGGCACCGACCCGGCCCGGCCCGGCCCCGCTCCTCACAGGCCGGCGCGGTTACACAACCGCCCCCCGGCCAGCAGAAGGACACGGGGCGCTGTCGCGGCCCCTTCCCGGCACCGTGGGGTGAACGGAACAGCTGCGCTCCCGCCGCCGCCCCGGCCCCGCTGAGCCCTGAGCTCACCATCGCGGCTCCTTCGGCGCTGCGCTGCCCGCGCCTCTGCCCAGACACGCCGGCGCCCCGGGACGGACGGACAGACGGACAGGCGAGAGGGAGAAGGGGAGGGAGCGGGAAGCGGCTCCGCCCTCCCCGCGCGCGCAGCTCCCAGCCAGGGTGGGGCGGGAGCGGGATCGGAATGAGGGCGGCGAGAGGCGATGTGGGATCGGGATGGCAGTGTGTCTAATTATGTGTCCATACATGGGAGAACTCGCCGCGGCGCAGCCGGGACGTCATTCCCGGAGGGAATCCCGGCGCGCACGACCCCCGGCCCGGCGCCCGCTCCTGGAGCGCTCCCGGTCTGCGCCTCGAGACGGGATAGGCACCCGGGGCGGAGGGGCGGGCACTGCTGGGTGGGACATGTTGTACTCGATGCTCCTTGATGATCAGTGATTCTAAGAGTTGGACTCCACGACCCTTGTGGGTTCCTTCCAGTGCCAACATTCCGTGTGTGACACCCCATGTATGCTTTGAGCGAACAGTATCGGCCGTGCCCCCGGCGCGTGTGCTGCGGGCTCTGCCCTCCGCCCGCGGACCCGCAGAGCTGACGCGTTGCTAATACCAGGAAGCAATGGAAAGTACGAAGCGTCTTGTCACCGAGTGGATGCTGAAGCAAGACCTACGGGCACCTCACGGGCGCAAAACAGCCCAGGTGCCCGCAGGCAGCTGACATCTGCTCCGAGTCGTTCTGACTAGGACACAACCAGTACAACTTCCAGGGACTGCGCTTTTCTAAGGGATCAAACCAGTGAACCCACGCACAGCCGAGGACTGGAGTCCTGTTAAACGCTTGTCCTCAGGCTTGAAGCCCTGCTGTTGGCTCTAATAGATTTCTAACGCCACTTCTAAGCCAGAATGGAAATAAAATGGAAACAACATAACGCAACAATCATAACAACAGCCAGACCACAAGTCGTATGTCGATACTGCTTCCAAACCACCTTGAAAAGCTCTCCAAGTAAGTTCCTGGTTTTCATCAATGGATAGTACTGAGATTTAGTTTATTTCTGATTACAAAAAAAGGGCAGTTGTTGGAAAAAATAGGGAATAGTTTATACAGCATATATGTTTTCAATTTTCATTGTTTGTTTTTATAAACAAAATAACGACTTGCTTCCACACTAATTTAGAGATCTGCATAAATGGATTCACTTCTGACTTTTTGGAGGAAAGCCCTGCTCCAGCTGCTCCAAGGCAGGTGCTGATTCTGCAGCCACATCTGCCAGCACAGATGAAGGACAGTGCCACTCACATAGATACATGGCTTTGTCCTCACGAATCTGGCTGCAGAATAGCTCTGATGGTTTGCAGACATCAAACATGGCTCAAACCACTCTGGTGCACACAGTCTGGAAATGGGACTAAAATTCAACTATTTATCTGGCTCCCTCTCATATCCCACAGACTTTGGTGGTTTGGATGAAACACAACAGCCCTTTGGGCATATTTAATCCTTGGTTTTGAAGAATAAACAAAACATTTCCTCAGCTCGGCTGGGTTTACACTGTATGATTACTGATCATGTGAAGCTTGGCATTTCCATAGTGGATTGCTTGGATGTTAGCTGACACTGGTATGAGAGGTAGGAAATACTTTCATTGAGAAAATAGCTGGGTGGTAAATATGAGCTGCAGTAGCCATTAAGCAAAAATATATCTGATCATGCTAAAAGTGCACAGAACTTCACAGGAAATGAGTTTCACACTTTTATTCTCAACAGAAGGTGAGTAGCAGCAGTTTCATGGAAATAGGACAAAAATAATTTTCCTATTATTTCATTTGAACATGGAAATGTTACATAAAACTGTGAGACTGTGATAAAAAGCAGTGAAAAAAACCCCTGCAAGAATCCAGAGAGCATATGGATACTGGGCTGACAAAAGAGAGAGTCAATACTGATTTTGTAGGTTTTTCTGTTTGCTTTGGCTGTGTGTCTTTTTAATGTATAGGTTAATTTTCCTAAGATGTATATTTGTATGAATATCTGTTTATATTCATACAAACATCTTTATAACGAGTTATGAAAAAAGAAGAGAAACAGGGTTGTGGAAGAATAGTTAAACAGTACATTCCCATGGGCAGGCTAATGGAGAAAGTGTCCTGAGTTCACTGCAATTGATGTGTGCTACAGGGTCCATCTACTCTAGGTGGACTAGAAGATGACTTTTAACAAAAACCCTAGAGCTGAAGGAATGAGTGCTCTGCATCTACATGAACCTTTGCTAAGCACTGTTTGTACCAAGCACAATCTAATTCACAACAATCTCTTTTCATGCTTTTAAACATTCTACTTATTTTAATGATAAACATCTAACTCCCAAGCTGACTATATGAAGTGAATTATATTTATTCAACATCCACGCTCGGAAGCAGAGGAAGGCATCTCCCTTTGAATGTCAGTGGTGGTGTGTCCGGTCTGCATGCCTGGGTCCTCCTGCCACGAACGTACAAGTCATCTCTGAGAAAGGCAGAACCATTTCAGGTTGAGTAAAGAGGACCCTCTGTACTTTTAAATGATGCACAAACCTTAGAAATGTTGACATTCCTGCCATGACATTCATATGGACAGGTCACTTTTCAAAGGCCTCACTTGAAAAGATTTAAGAAAAATTCCCTGCATTGAGAGCTTGAATTTGTTTTTTGCAGCATGTGTATTGTCTGACAGTATGTTTGGTTAGTAACACCTACCAGCTCATGCATAGGAGTGCTTACATCAAGAATTATTCTGAGGATATTTTCGAGCTGCAAGCAGGTGCAGCACTTGATCCTCCTGATACTGATCACTGGTGCTAAGCTTCAGGAAAATACTTAAGGACAAGCTTTGCTTAAGTGCCTGAGGAGGTTTATTGGCTTAGTATTTGTGACTTTCAGAGGCTCAGCACTCCTAGGAGTGACTGCAGCCTCTTTGCCATCTCCTGTTTTGGAGCCCACTCTGCACTGGGCAGTACCACAACACAGAAGTTGTTGGCTCCATAGTGCAGCTGATGACTCACACGTGCCTTCCCACCTACCCACTGCCTGCGTGGCAGTGTGTGCCAGCACCAAACAGGAACCAGGCTCATGATAAAGTGTAAAAACACTAAACTGTCTGAAAAAAGAACAGGGTCTTTACCTCTGGAAAAGCCACAGAATATAACTTTCCCTTGCTCTCCATTCTAAAAGCCTTCAGAAAGAAACGACCCTTACAAGAAATCAGTGAATCTGGAAAAGATTAGAAATTTTAATTAACTGCTCTGACTGTTTCCTAATTGGTTAAAACTGACAGCAAAGGAAAAAAAAAAAAAAAGACATTAGTGCTTTTCTCTTGCTTAGAAACTATAAATAGAATAGGTTTTATAAGCCTTTTATTTGCCTTCTGTTGACCAGACTAATTTAATTAATAATTTAATTAATGCTTGAAAGCCACTGAAACAAGGCTTAATAGCCTTAACAAGACATCATATTTTTAGTTAGAAAACCACACAGTCTTGTACTTAGAAAGATGAAGGATTTGTGTCATGGAAAAAGAAATTATATTAGAATAAGGAAACTTTAAAAATTCAGTGTATTTTTTTCTGTATCTGCCTTCCAAAAGAATAAACAGATACTTTTGATTGTAACATTTTCTTATAAAATGCAGAAGGTTACACTCTGCCTTCAGTTACACTTGGAACACGTAGAATTCTGCTTCCAGGAAATAAATGGATTCAATCATTTCTTCTTGTGAAATGTAGGGAGAAGCAAAATGGCATATATAAGACAAAGGCAGAATTTTATGACTTAAAATGTGATGAAATCACTTCAACGTTATAGCAGCAAAGTCAACAGCCCTTTTTCATCTGCTGTTTGGTTTGGGTTTTTTAAGGAAAAGTAGCATGTGACTCTTTCACTCTGGATCTGATTAAGAGATGCTTCACATGTAAGAGGCATTTAGAATTCATGGAGTTGAATTTTTTCTCCAACTGCAAACCAAAACGTATGAATAATGCTATTATTTGCAAGGCTGGTATAAATCTGGAAGAAGTCCACGAGGACTGGTAACTGAGGAGTTCTGCCTCCTGTGTTCCTGTGACTGAATTCAGTTAAGCTATGTTAGGTTTGCAACAACAAAATTACAAGACTTGTATTTTTTTTTTCCTCAAAGGGAGGTTTTTTGAAGCACTACAAAAGCTTTTAAGATCAAAACTTTATGTTTTGATGGGCAACCTGATCTAACATCAACATTAGCCTTGCTTTGAGAAGGGAGTTGGTCCATATTCCCTCTGAGGTCCCTTCCAGCCTAAATTACTCCATTTCTGTAATTCTGTGATTATTTGAAATGGAGCTGCATTCATGAGCGAGACAGTGGAAGACTCCAGAATAAATTGATGTTACTCTTCTTGTTGTGCCTTGATAAAAAAAGTGATCGTGATATGAACTTGCCTTTAAGAAAATAAATGATATAAAACACAACAGTTTACTACTGCTTTAGTTAGAAACATCAAGAGTGTGATATAAGTACAAAAAAATAATGATCTCTGATAACACAACATGAAAGGATATAGATTGAAACAAGAGGGGTTCCGGACTAGGCATAAAGAAAATGTTCTTCCTCCAGGAGCCAAACAAGCACAGGCTGTCCAGAAAAATTGGAGGGCCTCCATCCTTGGAGGTTTTCAAGAGCAACTGCATTTGGCTTCATCGGTGACCTTGCCTGGAGCATGAGGTTGGCCAGGTGTTCTCCTGGGTCCATTCTAAGCTGAATTATCCCACAATACTATGACTCTCAGTTCCTAATTTTGAAAGCACTTATGGCATGTTTTCTTTCTGGCCCAATCTTTTGATGATAAAATAATAATCAAATTTTAAAATAAGTAGGTCAATCAGAATGTGGATTTGGACCCTGTCTTATTTTCCACAATATAACACAGTATCACCGCCGAGGCCCGGGTTCGATTCCCGGTCAGGGCCACTCCCAGGCAGATGGAGCTCGTTAGCCCTTAAAAAGGCAAACCATCTACGTCCTAAGGACCTCGCTGCCACCATCCAAGCTCGCTTGGCCTCGGTAGATGAACCTTAGGATTAAAGGGTGGGCTCAGTTCCGCGCACACTGTGTCTCACCTAAAAAATCCAATGCGCAGGCTGGAAGGTGTAAAAACCTTCCCCGGATCTTCGCTCGTGAAGACTGGCCATTATTATTATTATAACACAGTATATGCACAGTATATAATATAGTAACAACATGCACAGTATAACCCTTTTATCCTTCACATCTGACAGATTCCTAGCTCTGCAATCGTTTGCCTATACAATAGTATGGAATGTGGTACGGATTTTAACTAAAATCAAAGACAGTCTGCTATTTCAGAGTGAAGTGGTCCATTTTGTCTCGGATTTCACTTACCCTTTGTTTACCTAAGGTGATTGTAACTAACGAAATCCGAGGAACGACACAAGCAGGAACAAAAGTGAAGGCAGACACACCCTCTGTGGATTTGTTTATTCAGTAATACTTTCTCTCAGCTCACCCGCCTCTGCTGTGCAAACAGATAGCTCTCATTTGCTGTGATATACGAAGTTTCACTGAAGCTGCACGTTAGGTCTTGTTTGAAAACCTAACCTGGAAATCTCAAAAACAAGACTAGTATCTGCCATTGATTTCAACAGTCTTCAATTCTGACACGGTTTGATATGAACCCTGGAAAACCCCATGCTTTTAGTCATACTCTCGGCTCGAAACTCGGAGTCACCGCTGTTTGCCACCGTCGAACTTTCCGTCTGGCGGCCGGTGTTTGCAGGCGCGGGCAGGGCCCCCGCCCCGTGCCCCCCGCTCGCCCCCCGAGCCGCAGGTGTGTGCGGGCCCCTTCTCCTCCCTCCCTCCCTCCCTCCCCCCTTCCCAAGGGTCGGGCGCTGTCGGGAAATAGCTGCGGGGAGGGGGCGATGCCGAGGGCTCCCTCCCGCCCGCCCCGGGCTCCAGCGCGTTCCCATGGTGACGGCGTCCTGGCAACCGCTCCCGCTCCCGCAGCCCGGCCTGCGGCGGCCGCTCCGCTCCCATCCAGCGCTCCCCTCCGCTCCCAGCCCAGCTGCTCCGCTCCGCGCAGCCGACCGGGAAGGCGGACGGACAGACGGACGGACAGACGGACGGACGGACGGGCCCCCGGCGGCGCAGCGGCGGTGACGGCGGTCGGGAGCGGAGCGGAGCTCGGAACGGGGATGCGCGGCAGTGGAGGGCAGTCCTGCCCTGCCCCGAGCCAGCACCGGTGAGTGAGCGCAGAGCCCGTCCCGGCTCTGTCCCTCCGTGTTGCATGGCCGTGCAGTGGTGTGTGACCCGTGGTGTCCTGTCGGCTGTCGCACGTCCCGTGTTCCCTGCAGCCATCGCCGCGCCCACCCGTGACCCCCGCGCCGCGGGGCCGGAGCCGAGCAGCGGGCAGGGCAGGGCAGGACAGGGCTCCGGCGCCATCCCCCCGCTCGGAGCCCCTCGGCACGGGCACGATCGTCGCACCTGTTTCCTCAGAGGGCCCTTGGCCTGGCCCGGAGCCGCGGGCGCGGCGTTGCCGGGGGGTCCCTCCCGCAACCCCCCGCACACCGCGTCCGAGTTCAGAGAGGTCCGGCGGGGGCTGATTCTCCCCGACACTGCCGCCTTTTGACCCATCTTTTTGCTGAGCTGCAACACAGGGACTTTTTCTCTTACTCCAAAGCGTCCCTCAGAGCACTTCAGAGTAACACTGGGAAGCTGCCGGGGTGGTGTCACACGTTCCCTGCGCAGAAACCAAAGCGGTTGCTATTTTAAGAAGAAAAGAGTGATTAAAGTGTTTGCCTAGGCAGGTATTTCAGTCTGCTTTGATTCCCGTGTGAATTGTGGCAAGTCACATAGCCCGCCCCGTGCTTCACTTCCCTAGCAGCAACAGAGGGAAATTATGTTTTCAGGGATAATAATGCTTTCTTACCCCGCAAGCATATTGTGAGAATGAATGTGAAAAACACTCCGAGGTGCACAGACATTACAGTAAGTATTAGACGTAGGTTATCATGGAAGATGAGGAACTGAATGCTACAGATGTGATTATCCTTCATAACAGGAAAAATAGAGAATCCACAGAAAATAAACGTGCAAGGCAGTCCAAGAAGTGGGGAAGGGAAGCCACAGCACAAATAGCAAGGAGTGAACTGCACATTGCTAAAAGTGTTTCTTTATCATGTCCCATGGGTGATTTTTACACATCTGATGCCAGTGACTTTAAGAAACAATAAGGAAGTAATCCACGTTTTTATGGAAAAGCTGCCTTGTGTGTCAGGTGAACTGTTATTTTTGGCAATCAGGCATACAGTTCTCAAGTGGGGAAAATCTTTTATCTTGTCCATGTGACAAGTACATTTGGAATATTCAGTAACTTAAATTAATCAGCCCAATATTTACTGGGTTAATATATCATGACTTAAATTGCTATAGCAGTATTAAGTAGGAGACAACATCATTAAAATAAAATTAAGCACCTGTAGCAAGTATTTCAACTGGTATTTAACTTGGTCCCAGTTTACTGCCACTAAAATTGCAGCCATGTGAAATTACACTCCTCTGAATCCAGTCATCAGAACATCTTCTGTTTTCTTTTATATTTACTAGTCTAAGTTGGTATTACATACACTCATAGAGAAGGAATTTGTCATTAGTTCTGACATCGATTTGCTACAGTTTATTGCAAATACCTCCAAACTGCAGGAAAGTTTTGTACAACTGTTGAACAAGATCTTAAACACATCCTTTCTGGCTATTGGATCAGATCAAGAAATCTGATAACCGATGATGTGACATTTCACTGTGTACTGAGGGAAGTGCTTTAGTTTGCAACAACAAATGACCAAGATGTTCATCTGTGTGGCTTTTGTTCCATGTGCACAATTTCTCAAGATACTTTCATTTAGCTGCATGTCTAATTGTAGCCTGGCAGGAAAAGTTAAAGCTTCAAGCAAACCTATGCTTCCTGTGCTACAAACATTTTTTTCCAATTGATAATAAATAGATACTTAAGGCTGTAAGATTAAAGCACTGTATGGCTGTTTTTTATAAGGTGTATTTCACTAAGAAACTGCTACTGTACCAACTTTAACACTTGTTCTTTGTTTTTCTAGGTAGCATCCAGTGCTTTGCTTCTGTGGCACACACAGCTCTTCTTAAATCAGTGGGATAAAACCCCTGTGCTTACAGTTAAATTGTGTTGAAATGCTTCACTGCATCAAGATCATTAAAATGTGTTAAGGCCCAGAGGTCTAAGGTGGTGTAACCTGGTGTAATCTGGGGATACAGCCAGGAGGGACATCTGGAGAGTGGTGGTGTTGCTTAAAAACCAACAACTGGGAAATGACGGTGTGAGGAACAGATTGCAGAACTGGACCTTCAGTGTCTGAGCAGGATTTTGAGTGCAGAAGTCATCACAATGATACCAGCTCTTATACCCTGCTTTTTACTCATAGCTATGTAAGAACTTAAACACTGAGGTAGGTATTGTTATCTCTCTTCCATATGGGGAAACTGAGTTATTAGGCATGGAAATAACTTTTGTGAAGTTCAGTAGATCAGAGATTGAGCAAGGTGTTAGATTCCAGCCTTCTGAATTCCTCTCTAGTGTCATTGCTGCTCAGCAATCCACCTTCTCTTAGAACTAATTTTTTTCTAATTTGTAGTTTCCGAAGCTCGGTGCTATAAATAGAACACACACACTGTGACAATGTTTGCTCTCTGCTTTCAGGCACTGCTTTCATGCATTTCTAAAGCACAAACATGCTTTGCATTCTGAGATCTCAGGGGGCAGCCTTATTGCTTCTACACAATCACTGTTTGGCTATTTTGTTTCCATAACCCATTTTTCTCTTTCTACTTGTAGGGCATAACACGTAGGATTTCATCAGCTATTGCAAGATTTTTTCCATACATCAGCCTTTAGTTTTCAGTGAAGATTTTAGGTTCCCAGGGAGTTCAGGCTTAGGCAGTGCTCATTCTCTTAATACTTAAAAATGTTGATTTGTTTTATATAGGGTAGAATAGTTGGATTTGATTGAGGCTAACATCTTTGTCATTAATTTAATTTCTGTCAGCAGACAAAGCTTCTGAGCCAGGTACTGGTCTCACAGTAAGATACTAAAATCTTTCTGAAGCTATTGAATAGACCTACTCTGCTGCAACGTCTGTCACTGGCTGGCAGTGTCTAAAAATTTAAGCTATAATCTATATTCTTACCACAAAATAATTTACTTACAACATAAAGTGTGGTCATTTAGATTTCAAGACAAATTAACAAAAGACTCAATTTTGTTAAACTATGCTGATGTCACACATTTTATTTAGGTTTCTGACTGCCAGTGCTTTTACCTGAAAAGCACCTTACCTCTAATAATCTGCTGTAATGAACTGTTTTTATTTGACTCTCCAGTCAATATTTTCCAAAGCTTTATAATAATCCTGTAGCTCTTACTTTATTATTCATTGATTAATTATGTCTGAGACCCATAGACAGATTGGGGACAAGCAGTTTGTTTACCTTTGTCCTGCCAAACCAGTTCTGTAGGTCAACAGCAGATTTCAGTTTCGAGGCTGTCACTCTTGCCTTTTCAAGAGTATAATTTTCACTATAAAAAGCTTTTTAGCACTTTTTAGTCTTCATTCTTTTGTATCTATTTTTAATCTATAACTTTACTTAAAGGTGCACTTAAAGCAAAAGAATTAAGTCATTTCAGTACCCGATATAAACTACTCAATAATTCAATGTGTACTTTTTTAACAGACGTAAGTTATTGACCAGAAAATGGCCCACCGAAGCCCAATCTTCCCAACTCTTGCCCCTTCTGAAAGGTACAGTTTGGAATATAAACATTAAAACCTTCATATTGCAGAGTATTATGTGTCTCTTAATTCCATATGTATAGTAATGCTGTGACTTGGGACTTTGGCATTAGTATGCAAAGCAAAGTGAAATACTGTAAACATTCATATCATGGCCGAAATCACAATTCCTTGCTCAGCCTTTACTTAACCATTTCCCAAATAAATTAAATAGCTTAAACTCTGAGTAGAAGTCCAACAATACTTTACTTTAGCCAGTCTTTTAATAGCATGGAACGAGTCTGAAAACTCAGAGCCAAAATACCTGTATTAAGAGCCCTCATACATCTCTAACAATATTATCATGGTGAAACTGAACTGCTAATTGGGCTTATTAATAGGAATGAAAATGAGAATGCACAGTAAATAACACAGTTCCAAGAAAAGATCTCCTCTTTCAAAGTGGTGTTGAACTTGTACCTTGCGCTTATGCTTCTGAAAATTTTCATTATTCTTTACAGAGTATAGTGGTAGGAAAAGATTGCATGAACTAGCAGCCTAATTGTTTTACTTTCAGCACCCATGAGCTCCATTGCATTCCATGGAAGCTATGCAAGTGCACTGCACCCTTGAAAAATATAGACAAATATTCCAGGTACCCAAATGTAAGCTATTTTGGGGGGAAAATTTGTGTTCTAAGACTATGAGAAGTTTGTAATAATTTTGGTCTTTCTATACCCACATATGCACCTGTCCAGTTCATGGGGGAACAAGCTTCTGTATGTTTTACACGATAGCTACAGAGACTAAAAAAGGAATTGACACAAGCTATTCCTTTTTAATCTGTCTGTTTGCATTTAATTTGCAATACCTCCCTTCTACAGTTACAGCTTAGATTAAGCCTGAAAACTTCCGAGACAAATAACTTTACTTTTGAAACTCATTAAAGGGGCTTGAATTTGGATTCTTAACCAAATTCTAGTTCTGAACTGTAACTACTTTTGTTATGCTAATGTCCTTTTCTTAAGACCCTAGGCTTTTGTAAGCTCCCTTAAAAAGAATGAAAGGGAGCCTGACCTGCCTTTGTATAAGACACACGCAGTAGCCAACACAGCACCCGCTTATTTGTAGCAGTGGGCCCTCTCTCTCAGTACTCTCCCAGTACTCAGATAGTATTGCACTGTCTCCCGTTGAAAGACGTTGCAGAGTTTTGTGTGGGAACTTAATATCTCGGATATTCTTCTCCACTAGACGGGTTCGGAACATCCCGCTGCACAGCCAGGCACTGACAGCGGTCCCGCTGGCATCTGCCAGCCTGGTGGATCAGCTGGAAGACAGAATCCTAAGCCATGAGAAAACAACGGCGGCCCTTGTGGAACACGCGTTTCGCATTAAGGAGGACATTGTTTCCACTCTGCACAGAATGCAGAACAAAGGAGGGGGAGACCGGTTGGCCCGGCAGCTCTTGGAGGAACACATCCGAAACATAACCGCCATAGTGAGGCAGCTCAATCGGGACATTGAGGTATGTCAGGAATGTCCCACAGCACTAATGCCATCTCAGCTACTTACTCCTGCTAATTTCCTAAGAAAGTTTACCACAGGATAAGCAGAGGTCAGACAAGGACTGAAGATCCTGTAAGTTTATAAACTGTTTTTACAACTTGAAAAAGTGTTTGCAAATTACATAATTCTTTCAGGGGCTATGAAAATAGCACAGGATATTAGCATATAAACACAGAAGCCTTTGTGGTTCTAATAAGCTTCTTTCAAAAGCTGCACTGGAAAATCTTGAAAAAATGAATTAATGAGACACTAATACCCAGCTCAAGTTCAGTCCAAAGGTTGTGCTGTATAAACAGTAGGAAATGCCTGAGCTCTGTAATAAACTTTCTTTCCCTTCTGACTCACTGATGACACCAAGTAACCAAACCCAACTGCTCAATTTTATGACCTAATCGTATGCAGATCTGTGACTTCACATATGACCTCTGCTGCAGTGAGCAACAGGGGTGTGGTGGGGAAAATGAAAGGATGAAACCCAATATCTTTCATCCTTTCATTTTCATTGTCAAGTTATACTTTATGCATATTATGGTATTTATGTCCAGATGGGACACTAATAATAAGAAATAACAAAATGCCTAAAAGATATCTGTTTTAGTACATAGCAAGACCAAGTTTTTAATAAAGTAATAATAAAATGGTATCTGAGGATACCGAACGACTGAAAAATAGTGAGTGACATTTTACGTGTACATTAAATGTGACATACTGAGCTTTTATTTGCATATGAATGCTTTGTAGATGCTGCAGGAACAGATACGTGTCAGAGACAATCTCAGCTATGGAACAAATTCTACCCTGAAGAGTCTGGAAATGCGTCAGCTTTCTGGCTTAGGGGATCTTCGGGGAAGAGTTGCAAGGTAAAAGTCAACATGGAACTATATTTTGGGGTCTAGTTAATGTTGCTTTAATCTTAAAGTATTAATGTTAATGATAATGGGCTGAATTTAACTTTGGCAAAATTCCCAGGATAATTTTGTTCTGTGTTTTCAAGAAAATGAATAATAATCCTTTGCATTTCAGTATTGCATATTAAACTCAATAATATCACCCTTAATCCCTAAAACTCCTGAAATTAATTTTAAATAAATTACTTCAAATTCCTTTGGCAAATTCGGATTTGATTCAGCTTTAAAAAGTACTGTGGTTAGACTCATGTATCTTTGAAACACATTAATTAGCACAATTAGAAAGGCAGCATGGAACAATCTGCACTTGAGAAGAACAAAATAGTTGCACATTTTTGCATATATTTTAGAAATAAAAATCTGCACATTCAGTTGTTGGTTAGTCATATTAAAAACCACATAGGCTACGTGACACATAAGGAACAGAAAGCTATACAATAATAGAGGTTTCACAGGCTGCCTGATCCTCCAGGTTACAATTTTGCAGCTACACAAACTTCACCGTGCCATCAAACCCCAGCACAACAACATTGGCTTAAGAGTCCCTAAAGTTGAACACAAAAGACAGAGGATGTGTACAGCTACAGGGAAAGGACCTAATCTGGCCTAAAGCAGTTTGGCTAATAACTTTGATGGAGCTATACTTGGCCTGATTTTGACCTGCTGTCTACGTTGCACATGTAATTTTTCTTTCTTCTTTGTACGTCAGCTGATTTAGTGATAACCTTCAAAAGCCTACAGAAATAATCAGGGAGGGATTTTCTTGAACTGCAGTTTTCTCATAAATTATTCAGTTGTCTGAAGCTTTCACTGTAACTTTCATAGCCCATTTTGTAAAGAATACTTTAGAGAGGTTATAAAAATAATTAAAAATTTAGTAAGTTTTGCACTATGCTTTAGCAAAAATGAATGAAATCGTTTATTTTGTCAAATCAGAAAACTGATTGAAAGAGAGAGAGACACACACACGTATCTCATTGAAAAATGCCCAAAAATACATGCCTAGATCTTTCTGCTTCTTTATATAAAAAGTCCACTTTGAGATCATCCTACAACCTGAGAGGGTTGTAGTTGCTCCATACTTGGAGTAACACCATTATTGTCACTTTGGGAAGCAAAATGTAGTGCCTTTGCCTCCAATAACAACTCAAGAGAAGAAACAGGTGCTGACCTGGACATCAAAACCAGGCCCTTGCCTGCCTCAAGTGCTCAGAACAGGAGCGGTGGGGGACTGGCACACCCTGTGCCAGTTTCCTCCTTTATTTACTTGGGGCACTGCCTGGTACTGTGCTTGGGTTGCAATTTATCTGATAATTGTGTGAGATTAAACCCATCTGCCTTATGTCAGACTGTGCAACAATTTCAGGCTATTTGTATTCATTACCCTAAGAGAATCAGTTTATTGTCTTTTAACTGTTATCTTCTCTTCTGCCCTCTGTCCTTCTATTCAGTATGCTCTCTACAGAAAAAAATTCCCTGAATGAGGAAGAAAAAAAATCTTTCCTTTATCAGAAATCAAGTTAAAGCAGTGTTCCGTGAGAGAAAACTATTTTCCTCTATTTACAGACAGATTCTACTTTGAAAATTAGTGTTGCTGTGAATAATGATTACAGCAACAGCTGGAGAATGTGGTCAAGACAGTCGTTTCTTGTGCTGTTGGCACAATACAGAAGTTTTCCCTGGGATAAATGTTCCTTACATAAAATAAACTTTACTTACCTAACGCAATTTTCTTTTCACATCCAGCCCTGCAAGCTTTCAGAAGAGTTCAGAGTGAAACATTAGAAACATGATCAAGTTCCTGTGGGTCACCACCTTACCCTGCATCAGCTTTCAGCCCCAGTCAAGGTGTGGCTCAGGCTGCAGTGATGGGCTCATGTAACTCCAAGTCCAGCCCATGTGCTCTGGGCTGGGGGTGTGCAGGCACACACTCGGGATGAGTCAGCTCGTACAGGCTGCACCACAGTGAATTCCGAAAGTCTGAGCCCTTTGGTCATGTAATAATTTTAATGTCAGCCTTAGGATTCTGGCCAAATTTCAGTTCCAGTAATAATATGCGTAGTAAACATCCTATTCAACTTCAATATTGGAGAGAGTGGTGTTTATTTCCTAACACCAACTGTTCTGTAACATGTCAATACATCATCAAACAACAGTCTCGTTATTTCTTGAGTGTTCCTGCTTCTAATGATGAGAGCAGGGATCCCTATATGTACATGCAGTTCTGAAGCACAGCTCTAAACCACATTCCCCACAGTTCTGAAGGAGTGAGGTTTGGACACACCTCACTCACTTCATAGAATCAACTACTATTGCTATCAGAAGATGACTGAATACACTTTACAGCTCATGGCTCTGGATCATTTCTCAATAAGAACAGTTTATGGATGAATTGTAAAGCATTATCACAGTGGTCACCATGAATGATTCCCAAGAATCAGCATTATTATTAACTTTAAGAAAAACTATTATCTCTGTTAAATTCAGTGACACATTCAGCAGAAAATTAGATAGATACCAGTAGACCCATTTCTCCAGCCTCCTGCCCATGATGTTGTCAATTTTATATAACATAGATTTAACAATTATTTTTCTAGTGATACTAAATCATAAAATTCAGTAGTATGGCCTTATCATTTATTTGGAGAATTACTTGTGTGCTATAAACATTTGTCTGGAAAGTTTAAATGCAGCAACCTCCTTGTAATGACATCAGTAGCTGACTCTAGAAGCTTCCTGATGGCTAAAACATCCAGAGAAACAGCAACTCTGTGTGTTCTAACTGGGCCTACTTTGCATATATAGATGATTTTTTTATGCATGTTATAGAACTGATTCATTTCAGACAACCTGGGCTCATTAGATGTAGGCAGAGTTTCCTGCATTGCACAGAAAATGAGTCGGATGTATCTGGGACTCACTGAATTTATGGACTTCTTGGGTACAATAAATCTGCTGTGCTCTGGCTCTTGCTGTGTAGGAGGTGAGCCCGGGGGGGCTGCTCTGGGCTCCTGGACCAGACCAGCACCACCTACCAGCTCTGCTGGTTCCTCCTAATGCCTGCCTTGCTCGTGTCTTCTTGCCTTTCACTACTTGTTCTTCATCTTGCTTGCTTTTCACTGGAACTCCAGCATTTTAACTGAAATCTCTCCTGTTCTAATAAAACAGGAAGATTAAAATCTCTCTGTGTACCATTACAGCCTATGTATAGAGCACCCAGTTGCAGAGTGTTGGCACAGCTCTCAGCCTTATCTAGGCTTTAGTGATACTGAGTGGAGCAACTACTGTCTTTGGATTTCCTAGAGGTTGAGGACACAAAAATACTCTTCAATATGCCAGCAAAATAACTACTACTTTTGCTGACTACAGCTTGGAAGGCAGTTGTTTGATAATTTAACTGTTTATATTAAACTTCACTGGTTTCTAGAATTCTACTATATTCTGAAATTGAGGATAATATTTAGCAGTATGAAAACTCTCCATCTATTCTTCATTTACCAATCTCACCTAAGTACACAGCTTGCAATCAGAACTTTCAGAAATTGTCCCCCAAAATGAAACAGTAGCAAAACAAACACATTCTAGTGCATCTTTGGTCCCAATTTCAACAGTGCATGTGTGCAACTGCATATGAAACACTGCACTAGGTTGTTTGTATGGACAGCTTCAGTATTTCAGAGAATTATTTATTGTGCGCTTCTTTGTACAAAACCGTTTTATACTCAGCTCTTATATTTTTAAACTAGTATCCATCCTAGAAATCTTAATCTATTTCTCATGTCTTTCCTTGTGCTTTTAGGATGACCAAACCTTGAAAATTGTTTCCAACTTCTGTCTTTATTCCTATAGCCCACTGGCTACATCTATAGAGACAGTCTGAATAAATAAAACACAGTGTTTAGCAACATCTACTTCTATTTTTAAGAAGACTTGTCATTTTAATATGAATCCATAACGAAGATTCAAAGAAGAACTCACAGAGGTGTGGGGAATTCAGTGGGGATTGTAGTGTGCCATTTTTTTCCTCCTTTCTCTCTCCTTTTTTTTTTAAACTGTGTATAATGTTCCCTTGTGTTTAGATTGTTGATTGTCTTCCAACCCATCATATGGTAGAAACCTGAATCAAAAGTGTTAGAAAGCCCATGCTTTTCCATATGTTCATCTTATTATTGTCTCCCTTCCTGTTTGAAAGCCAGTGGAAGCAGGGAGTGAAGTTATTTAACTGTCATAAGTTTTTAACTCAAAATGTATACTCACACAGCTAATACCAGAATCTCTCATTCTTTGATACTGAACACTAATATTTCTTTCCAGGTCAAAACTAATCAGGTGTTTGTGAATGTGTACACCAGATATGGCAGAAAAAACAAAATAATCTGATCAATACACAGCAAGCTGACACTAAATTAACATAGTCAGAATTGTAGTGTTTCAGTTACCATGAACCCTTTGACCAGGTAACTGAATTCCATGAAGAGAAGAAATGCTCTTTGATTAAACCCAAAACACTTCTTTGCCTTAAAAACAATTACAGATGCTTGCTGTTTACATTTGCTTCAGTAGTTTCAAAGTTGTTGCTTTTTATATATTTTCAGTCATGCCTCAGAGAAACAAAACTAACCATTTTTGGAGCCCACAGCATTTTGGTGATTAGATGTAAGATGATTTCATTGCTCTGATTCTTTCTGATTGTAACAATGGGAGAGAATTGGTTTTCCTCATATTTCTAAAGAAAGTGCCTGACTGTGAGACCCACAAATAAGGTTCACTGCTGGGTAAACCTCAGCTGCTCTTCCTACAGATATTACTGACTGGTCTCACTATGCTGAACTGCTCCACCATAAATTGATTTCTGCAAGTTTTATAATGTCTATGTGCTATTTTGCATGACTGATTATTTTCTTCTTGAAATTGTACCATAATAATAAGTAGATGCTCCATTTGTCATCTTAGCTGGGACTTTCCCTTCATATTTAATGATGCTGTCAGTCACTGTAACTGAGGTGATGAACATGCATGTTGGAATGAAAGCCTGCAAACTGAAATGTGACTAAAAAGAGCAGAAACTGTGTCATTAGTTTAGGTAATTACTTAACATGCCTCAGCTGGTTCCATTTTATTGCATTTTGTCTCTTAAATTGTAACTGCTGTCTGTTCCCCATCAGTTTTCTACATCAAATTTGGCAACGTTGCTGATTACATATTTCTCTTAGCAAAAACTGTCCATGAGTCATACTTCACAGAGGTCTTACTCCTGAAATCACAGTACCTACATTTTTACAGCTCAGTTAATGCCTTTATTGTATTACTGCAGATGAAATCCACCTGGCCGAATTCTTCTTGAAATCTGGTAGAAAATGCACATATTCTAGAGCACATTTAGACTGAAAATGTTACAGCATCAAGAAATGTTCCACTGTGAAGAAAAGAAATAATAATTATTATGTTCCAGGACTTCATTTGATAGTCTTTTCTGAGACAAAATTGCCATTGCTTTCAATGACAATGTATTTATTTACCTAAATAAAGACTAAGAAATATAAAATTTGCCCCACGTTGTTTACTACACATTTTAACTGTATACTGCTATTTCACAAATAAATATACAAAGCTACAATAATGAAAAAATGGTCCTTAATCATTTAGGCTTCTCATCACGTAGGCAAAATCATACACGCCTAATCAGATGTCTTCTGGAGTATTACAACAGTACAAGGTAATGAAATTGTGCATCTTTGCCTTTCTGCTGTGATTTCCCTGACCGATAACACAGTCTGCCCATACTGTGGCAGTGTCAAGAGGACTGAAATGTGTGTATCAGACCATTGGACCTCGAGCCCATCTGGGAGCAATTTGCTGAATACCATGAGCTATACATGACAATTCTTACAGTCTCAGAAGACATTTCCCTAGACAGCCAGCAGTTTCACAGAAATGGCCAGTATAAACTGGAAAATTTTAAAAGCCTGGACCTCATATTCTATTTAGCTGTTGCTTTTTTCTTTTATCTATTCAAACAGGTGTGATGCTGGGTTAGCCAGACTGTCTGCAGAGCATAAAATTACATATGAAAGACTTCAGAGCCTAAGTAAAGACCAACACACTTCCAAGCTGATCTTAGAATCTAAAGTCAAAGAGGCAGAAATACAGGTATGGTATTTAGACCAAAGCAATCCATGTACAGGTAAGCGTTACAGTCTAATTCACACAGACTCCAGTACTGTTAATTATTATCCTGGGAGGTCACAGATTTGCAAATGGAGAGATGTATCTGTTCACTGTCCTTATTACATTGAATATGGGTACCCATCTGCATTCCTGTACCGGTCTAACTGAAAAAAGGTACTTAGTTTCTGCCTTCAGCTTACTGTGTAGAAGGGACTAGTGCATAAGGCATCTGAAAGGACTACAGGAATGAAGAAAAGCCAGTGATTACTGGCCTGAATGGCTTCCTGAGGTTGGAATGTGAACGTGGCATGGATGCTCCACAAAACTACTACAATGCAAGCATCAGTGCCTCTCCCTGTATGTTTTGGCCTTCCCAGGATGATTCTATACATGTTTGAACACAATTTTTGAAGGTCTGCAAACAAAACTGGCTCTGGGTTCTGTGAATCCATTAATCTGTCTGTCAGGTTTCTCTTCCATTGGGTTTGAGAATGGAAGTGAGCACTAGATACAGGCAGAGACTTGTGACATTAAGGAAAAGGATTCTTCATATCTCCGTCTCAAGGCCTTCCCATTTTCTTGGTCAATAAAAGTATTTTACATCTTCATTTTGTGGTAGGTAAATGGTTAAGATCCACTTCACCTTTCTCAGAAGGCTCAGTGTAGTACCTTAGCATATCAGGAGGATGTTGTCATGCACCTTGTAAACCAAAACTGTTTTGTGAAAGTGGGATGATTGTTTTGGTGAGAAATATTTTCTTCTAGTAATGACCTATCCCCAGTTAAACCCAACCCTTCTGTCATTGCAGTGCTGTTATACACAGATTGATGGTGTACACACCCCTCAGTGTTGGTGGAGTGCTTTTGCTATTTATTTACTATACTTATGTGGCAACGTGGAGATGTAAGGATTCTGCAAATCCAGCTGTCTCAAGGGGGGATCAGGCAGATGCTTTCAAGGCAAAACTATTCCAATTATTTAAGGCAAAAAGAAAGTACAGTTTTCAAAATATTGATAATTTCATGTTAAGAGATATTGTATTTTTCAAGATAAAGTAAAAAATGCCAATTCAATAATTTTAGAAACATTAGCAGAAGTGATCTCTCTAAGACCTTCTCTGCTGTTATGAAAATGTCCCAAATGAAACTGTGAATGAAATGCTGCTGAAAAATAGTAAATTCTGAATTTTGTTTCAGATTTCTCACCTGCTGAGCAGAGTAGAGCAATCAATAATGCAGCAAGAAGCAAAGCTGAAAGTTGCCTACAAAGAAAGCAACCAACAACTACAACTCCTGGACACCAAGTAGGTGCTGCTGCCCTGCACCCTGGGAGGCAGAGCCTCAGTTTTCCAAGTCTGACTGTTGCAATCTTCAGGTCTACAAAACCGTGAACCTCTTTGAATACTTGTTTGCTCCACAGATATTATGAAAGCAAAATGGTCTGTCAAGTGGGACTTGCTTTCAGCAAGAATCCCACCCCTAATGTGCTTAGACAGTTTTGAAAAGTTCATTAAGTCCCCAGTTAAGTATTTGGGCAGAACTTGTACTAAAGGACACAACCAAGGATTTTTTAAAGAGGGGCCTGGTGCCTTTCTTGCCCTTCTGCAAGAACTGTGCCAATGAAGGCTGGACGTGGCTGTCCAGAGCAGGGCAAAATGTTCAACTCAAGCAGGAAGCAAAGCACAGCATTCACAAAGTGTTACTGCTTTAAATTGCCTTCAAACATGAATATAACTGAAATACCTAAATTATTAATGATAAGCTACTGTGCTACTACCTGACATTATATGGGGACATTATATTCAATTCAGATATTAACTCCTCTCCAGGCAATTCACTCAGTGGCAGTTCTGGTATAAGCCATCCACATCCTTACTCCTTACTGCTTATTGCCATCCTCATGCAATCCCACCAGTTACATCAGTAAAACTGTTGGCAAATCAGACCCAGAATAGACCAAGATTTCAAATATTGACTGGAGAAAAGAAACAGTTTCACTGGCACATTGTGTTGGTGTAAAGCTGAGGTGGGTACAGGCAATGCAAGTGGGGCTACTTGAACCAGCATTGCCACCAAAATAAGTGGTTATCAAATCTTTGTTCAGATTTAAGACCTCTGGGCACAGAGATTATAATCTGAATGGATGACCATATTCTATTTTCAATATCACAGTGAATTTTCATCTGCTAGGCTTCAAAATTGGTGATGAGTTTTGTATAAATGACTGCTATTTTGTTGTGCTTTTCCACCTTTATTTTCTAAAACAATGTTACTTTACCTGGTTTAGTAGCCTTACAATTCAAAGGCTCACCTTAACATGGTGAGGAGAACGTATCAAATTGCCATTATGTTATGAACATTTTCATAAAAAAAGTCACTGCTGAATGACCAGTTCTGCCCCTTTGTACCTGCTAATTTCCATTGTGCTCTCAGATTAAAAAATGCCATTGAGGAACTGAGCAGTCAGATTTTGTCTGCACGCAGCTGGTTGGAACAGGAACATGAAAAGATTGAAAAAGAGTTTGTGCAAAAAGTTGAACAACTCTCACTGACTTTTAAGGAGAACACGGTAAGTTTCTTTAAAATCTGTAGTACTAAGAAAGTATTCAAAAAGCTTCATTAACAACTAAGATGATATAACTGAGCTACTATTTGAGTGAGATTTTCAAACTGTCTCTGTATTTTCATAAGTGTCTTCACAGATGTAAAGTATAACATTCCCACAACCTTAGAATTTTTAAATAAAACTGATCACTGCTAAATAGATCAGTAATAGCCTACAGTAATCAAGTCAGTTAAAATAATTTTATAAAAAAGTATAATTCCTTACACCTTTGAATTTCAGATAAAAGACAGTCAATCAATATCTATTTCATATTTTTTAAAGACTATTGTTATTTCATGTGCAGAGTAAATCATTAAAATTCTTTTTCTGGGCTCCAGGAAATGAGTGAGAGAGCTTTTGAGATGAAATTCAACCAAATGGCAGAGAAAATTGAGAAAACAGGAGAAATGCAGAAGATAGGCATGGATGCAAATGAAGCAAAACAGACTGAAGAAAGGATAAATGTTCGCATTGGCAAACTCCAAAATGAGATAAATGAAGATATAAAAGAAATGAAAGCCGAAGTTAATGCTGGTAGGATCAGAGAATAATTATTGAGTCCTTTATTCTGAATTGTGGTAACAGTTAGCAACTTGTAAGAATATACAAAATGTCTTTGTTTGTATCACATTAATTTAAATACATTTGGGGCAGGCATAATGGCTACACCTGTGGCATCAAGAAGGATTTTCATGAAGTGTGACATTCACAGCAATAAGGGGTATTATTATTATCTTGCCCCCCCAGAGCACACGCAGCCATAGCTCAGCTGTGACCAGGGGCATTTGTGCCACCAACACAGTTACATCATATTTTCCTTCAGAACTTTTGCTCTTCCTAGTGCAAAGCAGAGTGTTACGGTGGGAAGCAGATTCTGGTAGTGGTTATGTGATGCTCTTGGTTATGAACTAATGCAATTCTCACCTGCAATTAGGATTTGCAGCCATCTATGAGAGCATTGGGTCTCTGCGGCAAGTACTAGAAGCAAAAATGAAGCTGGACAGAGATGAACTACAGAAGCAGATCCACCAAATGAAGCAGGAGGTTCCAAGATGGGGAGAAGCTGGACCATGACTGCAAGATTGTGTCTGAGAGATTCATGTTTACCTGGCTCAGTAGGCAGACTCTAGTCTTGTTCCAGTCTGTGACCCAAATTAACTGCATGTACCAATGACATGCTGCTGTTGCACAGGTCTGTATGGTGACTCAAAGCAGTAAATGCAAGCTCTTCACGGATAACCAACATGCAGCCCTTGGGGCTGAGGTGTTGATTTGCCACTGCACTACTCTAGTTGCTGTCAGGAAATTAAGCACTGTGTAAAACTGGAGTAATATATTGGTGAAGCTGGCACCTAATTTGCTAAAGGCATTGCAGTTTTGCAGGCTTGGGCAGGCAGCCATATACTTTTTATATATAAGCACCTGTACTACCCCACGCCACTCCTCTTTTTAAAAAAATAAAGGCCACTTGATACAACTTGCTTAATGTAAATTTTGGCAAGGTTCTCCATCTTGATGCAAGTTATTTAGTTGCAATCAATGGACATTTTTACAGCGACTTGCTCTACTATTGACTTCCTGGGAAGGTAGAATTGGCATTAAAAAAACCCGATGTTCAAAACCCAGATGCCATCAGAAAATATTTGTTTAGTTTTGCAAATATCCTCTGTGTGTGATAACTAAATAGTGTTATATAATGTAGTTGTAGACTAAGATGATTCATCAACAACATAAGACATTTTAATGACATGGTCTTAAGTATTGTAACCTTTTAAAATTAATAACCAAGTGGAGCTGAGACAAGGTAAAACGTGTATATAAAGTATTTTTTAAGTGGGCATGTGTTCCTGTGACTTGCTTCATTGTGTTGATAAAAACTTAAGAAAGGTTTGAAAACAAAAGCAAAGGTGATAATCTAACCTAGCCTGGAGAACGTAAAGCAAAATAAAATGCAGTTTATGTTCTCTTCGGAAATTTTGATTGAAGTAAAAGAACTGATTCATCATATTTAAGTAGATTAATATTTTAGCAGATTCAAATTGCTAATTGCATTCACAGTATTTCCAGATAATAATTGCCATTCACAGAAGGGATTACATAATCAAAGTCAGCACCCATGGGGCATATTAATCTAGATAGGAAAAAATATATATGTTATTTTGACTTCCTCATTAAGAGCATGATATATTGCTCCTCATGTTTGCAAGTCATGCAGGACTAAACACTCATGAAGAATAAAAGACCTCATCTAGTCTCCTAGTAATTTATACTATTAACAATAATTCATATACAAAAATACTATTAATTCACACAATTCACATTAGTGTTAACATAAATAAATAAATAGAATGTCTCTACACTATTCTTAATGGATTTTTCTTTCAGCTAGTATTGCAAAAACTATTCTTAGTTGGAAAATCAGTGGCAAACTTCTCATCACTTCCATGAAAGATTGTTTGGCCCACAGAGTCACCATATTTAGATCAAACAAAGAATAAAAAACCTGCTCAAAAAACTTACACCATTAACTTCAGTAAGACAGTATAGTGTGTAAAAACCAAGGAAATGCATACATCTTCACAGGTTTAACACCTAATTTTCTATTCACTTCCTATATAGTTGAAAGCCAGTGCTGACACCAAGCAGGAACGACAGAAGCAGCTTTGTTATCTTCCACGTGCTCTGAAATGTATTTACAAGGGCAGCTAAGGGGAAAGGCCAGCCCTAAAGAGAGACAATGAAATGCTTGCAAATGTTTCTTAAGAGTTGTCTTAAAAATTTGTTCTTACTCTACATATGTATCTATTCTTAAATGTTTAGCCATGTGCAGTGGAAAAGCTATCACTGGTGTTTCACTAAAGAAAAAAATAAAAAAGAAAGTAGCAAAGAAAGAAACAAAAAGAGACAGAACAAACACCAAGTAACTTTTTTTGTTCTGTAATTGGAAGTCTATACCTGAGGGAATCTGGTAGGATATGAAGGACACACAAGGAATCAGAGAAACAATTTATATAGCATTTTGATAAAATGTTTCTCTTGTAAAAATCTCATGTGATTGATCCATATATAAAACAACATATGAAGCCCTATCCAATTTTACTTTTGCTGGTTTAAAAATGTTTCTCCCTAAATTTCAGCTAAAGCAAATAACTAAGAGCCCAAATAAAATAATATTGAAGTGCAACCTAATGTCAAGCTGTGTCTTCAAACCATGAAGTGCTCCATGGAGGGAGACACAGGTCAACAATATCTTGTCTGCACAGGCTGTCAGGGAGTGCTCATAAGTCATGAGTGAGTTCTTCAAGGGACAGTGAGAGTCCCTGTATCTTCATCTTAACCTTGTATAGCAGAACCCTCCCTCAGGAACAGCAAGCCCTCAGGGGAACAACCCTGGAGCCAGGAGGGCAATACACAAACACCGGGGGCTACCAAAGCGTGATTCTGAGAATGACCTGCAGAGATCCCGTAAAGCCACACAGAAGGAAACAGCTGGGCCTGAAAGTGGAGCTGCCTCTTTATTTTTCCTTCCATGTTGGTCTCCAGCGGGATTCCTGTGTGCCAGTCCTTCAGGGACACCAAGGGCTTTTGATGGTGGAAGCAAGGTGCTTTTTTGTTCAACACAAGCACCTGTGCTGTGAGTCACTCTCTCACAGGTCTGTAGAGGCCACCAAAAGGAAGAGGTAGTGAGAGGGGCAGTGTTTGTCTGGATGGAACCCAAGCAAACAGAATGAGACCAGGGAAAGTACATGTGCACAAAATACTATTTAAAACACAACCATAAACTCACTAAAAGAAGGACTGGGAGGAGCCTTGGGAAGTCATCTGCTCCCTCTCTCTGCTTTGAAATAGATCTAACTCCACCAAAAATATTTGTGATAGGCACTTGTGTAACTTGCTTACAACAATCTTTCAAGAATAAACCATTGACTACTGCAGTCTATTCCACTGCTTAAAGAACTGCCCTGCCACCCAAACACGTAAACTGAATGGGCTCTAGATAGGACAAGACATAATGGGCTTAAATTTCAAGCACAGAGGACGCAAAATCTAATTTATGACATTCTTCCCTACATGTCCATTAATTTTTTAAGGCAACCTGTGTATAACACAAGATTCAAATGAAGTTTCATGGGGGTATTTTGCCCAGCATTTCTTAACTTTTTTCTTCTTCCTACATCCATAAAAAACCCACCAAACAACACCCAACCCAAAATACCCAAAACCATAAAACCCCCAAAAGCAGACCGCTTCTTCTCATGAAGTTTTAAAATCTTTCTTTTGTCAGTATTTTGCATGCATGAGGCTTAAACCATCTGCAGCATGCAGACCATAGTATTCAGCCAGCTATGTTGCCTGAAAGGCATAATGAGTGTCAGAGGTTAAACTCAGTGAAAAATATTTAACTGGGGTACATGCCTTTTATATCAGCATGAGATAACACAGTAGAACTATAGTACTGTGCAGTGAAGGACTTAACTGGAATCAGAATTATGACAGTAATTACAGAGCAATTGTGCTATTTAGGTTCATTAAGCAAACCAAAAGAGTGATGCAAGTAAGAAGTTAAAAGGAGGATCCTAACTTCACCATATATTTGTTTATGTAGTACAGTTCTGTACCTTTATATTGTGGATATCTTTGTCATTACACTCTGATACAGTTCAGTAGACAGTTTCCACGTCAGAGAAGAACAGTATGAAAGACAATGAACAGCAGTAGATTCCTGTGAAGGCAATTTAGACTGAAACGTAATATTTTCATCTTTGCTCAATTTGTGTTTCATGCTCCACCTTCTCAAGCATCTGGCCATCTGGGGCACAGAGTGTTCTCTGTATCTTAAAGTGCTCATTAAACATGTATTACAATAAAGGAAATGTATAATGAGAGACAAATTACAAACTGATGAACTCCTCTGTTGTGTGGAGGAGGGATCCTCCTGTGATACTCCCCACGGTGTAAGAAATTCAGAGGCAAATTTGAAAGAAAAAAGGAAATTCAGTACAAGGCCTCTACTGAATTTGCCACAGGATGTCACTGTTACTCTTGGCGAGGAAAGGACGATGCTCAGTGTACTTGTGTGATCCATAGGTGCCGCAATACCACTGAGTTGGGGCTGGAAGTATTTAACAACACTGTTACGATACTAGTGATACTAAACAATACTAGTTAAATACTAAAAAGTATTTAACAGTACTCTGACAATAGAAAAAAAATATTCTAAAGGCATCACTCTGTAAAATCTCAATAAAGGCAGATGATTAATTAAATAAATACTCTGAGGGTGATTGTGATGGTCCTTTGGACAATGCACAGGGACTGCTACTTGGGGACCAAAGCTCTCTGCTGCCTTTTCTGTCAGCAGAACTTTGGTCAACACAAAGCATGAAAACCCCCCAAACCAGCTCCCAAACCCAGAAAAAAATCAGAGGCACTTCTCCTAAAGCATTAGATCTTAAATCAAGTAAAGCTCAAAGAGCAACATGCAGCATTTCACACTGATCACCCCAGGAGGTGCTGCAGACCTGCAGAAGAGGCTCCTTACCCAGTATTTCCTCCCCCTCCAAGATTGATTTTGGCTGAAAGACCACAGGATAACCTGAACAGTTACCACCAGATGAAACCCATATGAAAACCAGATGAAAACATAAAAAGCTGCTCTCAATCCATGCAAGGATTATCTCAATAAATAGCCTCAACATTACCAAATATGTGGGAGAGCCATGACTTTTGCTGGCATAGATCAGTGAAAAATGCTTTCACTTCAGCAGAGCATTAGTGATGTATACCTAACCAGGATCAAGTTTAAGGAGAAAACTGAAGTAGTAATTGTCATAAAACAAAAAGCTCAAACTGAATGAGAAGATGAGTAGGAATTGTTGGTGAAAAAAGAGAAAGGAAAATTGCTTCTTGTAGAGTGACAGGAATTAAAATAAAATATATCATGCACTGCTGCACATACTCCAAACAGTTACTGTCATTAAACCTGACTTTAGCTTCTGCTAAGGCTCATTTTCTAACACCACTGCACTAAACAGGCTTCCCTTCTATGTGATTGAAGTTGAATTAGACTATAAATGAAGACGAATTTTGCTGACTGTACTGTCTCACTCTTGTGCTTCATTTCCTGATCATAGAATCATAGAATCATAGAATAGATTGGGTTGGAAAAGACCTCCAAGATCATCAAGTCCAACCCCTGATCCAACTCTAATTACTATATCATGGCACTAAGGGCCATGTCCAGTCTCTTTTTAAAAACCCCCAGGGATGGTGAATCCACCACCTCTCTGGGCAGGCCGTTCCAATGCCTGATCACCCTCTCTGTAAAGAATTTCTTCCTAACATCTAACCTAAACTTCCCCTGGCAGAGCTTGAGCCCATGTCCCCTTGTCCTGTTGTTGGTTGCCTGGGAGAAGAGACCAACCCCCACCTGGCTATAACTTCCCTTCAGGTAGTTGAAGAGAGATCAGGACTGTGAGGTAGGGCATCCACTCTGCTGGGTAGCCTTTGTGATCTTGTTATCTCCATTAAGAATAACTTAAAAGGTTCAGTAATTGCATATTAGAATATATATGCCTTCATATTACAACACTGAATTTCCATGCTGTGCCACGGTCTTTTATTCTTCACTGGCTTTGAGAATTGTCATTTCAGTACATTGCAAGTATCTTATTATAGAAATCATGAAATTCAAGAAAGGTATAATGACTCAAAGTAGAGCTTTTAAAATGCAAATAACTGAAAACAATAAAAGTTAAAACGTATTTTATGCTACTGCCATGCTTTGAAAAGATAAATGCTAGCCTGTTTACTACTATAAATAATAAACCTTGTTCAC